TAAAAAAGATGGGTATCTTAACATTAATTTCATAATGATGAATGAGGAACAAGTCATTTTTCACTATAGAAACAGTGATTAATATTGAAATTGTTGAAATCTTACATCGACTCATTTATAATAATTAAATATTATGTCAATTTGTAATTTTATTAAAAATATTTTTTTATTTTAATAATTGTTTATCGTAAAAAAAACTTTTTTTTTCCCATGAATTCTCTCAATTTTTTTTTGTTGACAAGTCATCATCCCCTACTATAAATTACAGTATATGAATAAGCAATTAAAAGAGAAATTCTAAAAGATGTACATAACACAATTGTGAGAAATAGTTGTCAAATATCAACACTCAATTGCTATTTTGTGTTTTTTTGTATGTCAACAGATTAACCAAGGGTTGAAAAACATGAAAATATGACAAACACACCCGTATACCATACGTACACTTCATTTTCTAGTCTATAATAACATAATGAGATTTTCTGTATAGAAAATGATCTCTATTTTTAGTTTAAAGATCAGAGAATTCGTTTTTACATAATTTAGTTAAAACCGTTTTGTCTAGATATGTGCTAACAGTTAAGCTTTAAGTTTTTAAATTTTTTTCTCATTATTTTTATAGTTTAACATAATTTTTTCTCAAATTTTTCAGTCGAAGATATTAAACACTCTATAGAATAGAAAACGAAAACTAATGATTGTATTTCCTCAATTTTAGTGATTCAATTTAATTCAAGGCTATATGACACGCAAACTTCTTATTTCTAAAATATATGTTAGAGTTTTGAAAAAATAAACGATAGAGTAGATTTTTTACAATTTAAATGTTTTCCGTATTTCTAACATGAAGTCTCTGTCTTTTTCAAAACCTTTTAATTTTAAAATAGAAAAAAATTGAAACATACCAAAAAGACTTCAACATCAATGGTTTAATTTTGTTAATTATTTCTATAATATAGCATTAAAACTGCTACATAGAAAAGAAGAAGGTAAGTTTTTCCCTTCTATTAAGTGCATGTATAGTTTAGAAATAAGAAACAATAAGAAAATAACGTTACAAAGGACAATGTCAGTTGTGCTAATGCAATCTTCTTCTAAGTTTTCTCTTTTTCTTTTCTTCTTATAACGTATTTCTTGTACCATTTTTATTCATCCACCCATTTTTTTCTTTTTTTTTTTTTACTTTCTTTATTCTTGCTCCACATAGTTAATTTACTTTCTCGTTTTTTTTTTTTTTACCTTTGATGAAAAAAAAAAATCATTTCCTGTATCTACATATAAATGAATAATAATTTCACCTGTATAACAAAAGACTTTTAAAAAATTGACAATGGTAATTGTTGCACTAATTTCAATGCATCGAACAAATAAAGAAGAACAGTTTATTATAAGAGATTTTTTCAATGTTAAAAATGAGAATATGTTTTCTTCAATCGTCTTTTTACTAAAAAAAAATTGTTTGTTATTGTTATGAAAAATTTACAGCTTGACTAGGTTTATCTTGATTTTTTAAACAATTCTTTTGTATAAAAATCTTCTGTAATTTTAGGTTTATTGAACATTGTGTGACAGGACATATACTTACCTATCCAATCATTCATCTATAAGTAGTTGTTTTGAAGATTTAAAATCTATCAGATAAACAACATAAATTTTGCATGTAAAATAATAAGAAATGTATCGGAACTAAGAATTCGTTCAGACTACTGTTAGAAAATTTTTTTATATGGAATAAATGATGATGATGAGCGAATTGGAAATAAACATGATTAAAAATAGATTTCAAACTAAAATTTTTCATGATAAGTCATGTAATATAGACATGACCTTTTAAAAAATAAGTTGCATGTTGTATCCATGCATGAAAAAAAATTCTAATATCACTTTATCATTAATAATAGTGAATTTTCTTTAATTTTTCTATTATCAAAGTGGGTAATTCTTTTCTCGATCATTTAATCATACAATTAAGAGTAATCATCAATCAAAAAGAGACAATATCGTGTAATAATTTATTATCCGATGCTACTAATCATGATCATGATTTATACTTTCTATTACATTATGATGTATTTCTCGAATAAGGTATATGCATTCATTATTACTTGTTCAATGTCTTGATATTTTAAATATATTATCATTATAGTCCTTAACCTGTTAACACATGCATTTAGGATAAAATGTGTAACTCTTTTTAAATAAATGATCTACTTATTCCAATCCTCGGATCTTCATTCACTTAAGAAAATCAAATGATCTAATTATGGACTATTATCATTTATCAATGATTGTTCACAATTAAAACTTTAATATTTATAATAAAATTCTATATTTTTAACATAAAAGATATTTATGTCATCATGCTTGTTATTCTATCATGTCATTTTATTATCATAATTTTGGATCTTTGATCTCTGTAGTTGTTGTTAATTCTTTTATATTACTCAACATACTTATGTGTACATTGGTGTTATGAAAAATTTTGAAAAAGATCTATAATCTTGATTTTCATTGTATAAATATGAGAACGATGATCATTACTCTAAGAAAGATTTCTTCATCTCTTCTAGTATACACTTCTATTTTTTATTTGATACAAAATTGTTGATAACTATTTCCAGATTGTTGTCAAATATACTCGAAGGAAAAGAGAAAACATCTCTCTAATTAATAATATCAATAACAGCAGTTTATTACATAATATACCAACGTTGGGGTAGAGATCTTATTAGCTATATATCTGACATGTATATTAACAACAACAATGTTATGATGTTTATTCAACAAGACATCTCAGAACGAATAAAAATAATATTTTTGGTAGGTATGAGTTAATTAAGCAGCAAATACAAATGTTTAATGACCGCACAAAACAACCAATTTTTTATTATCATTTAGTTGTACAAAAACAAGTTTGCCTTTCTAGCGCGTATAGACAAACGTAAAAATCAAACACTGACGAGGACATATTGCCAAATGATCGATCACTTCTTCTTCGAAACATACTAATTTTTTGGATAATTTTTAATGTTGATCATGAATCTGACATTTGTTTATTCCCATGAGTTCTTCTTAAATGAACCTATAAAATCGGGATCTCTAGAGAGTCGCCATGGGATTTCAACCGAACATGTGCTGGTACTGTCATGTGAAGATCATATCGATTTATCAATTCAGAACCGTTTCTGAGGCTAATTGATCTATTTCTCTAGAGTTTTAAAACTTTCATGTGCCAGTTTTATGGAGACCCTGAATTTTTCAGTTTTTATGTCAGTAAAAGTTTAAAGCTCTAGAGAAGTAGATCAATTAGTCCCAAAAACGGTTCTACATTGATAAATTGATGTGATCTTCACATGACAGCATCAGCACGTGTTCGGTTGAAAGCTTTGTATTTATTAATTACATGAACTATAATACTTTGGTCAATCAAAATTTCATGCTACTGATGATAAAAATCTAACAAAAACTGTAAATCAATGCTAGTTAAGTTTATGATTTCAAAAATAAAGATGTAGCATTGTTTGTTTTTTGTATTTACTTATAATTATCTATCAAATTTGACAACAGATTTATTTGCAATTTGGATAATGGTGTAAAAACATGGAAAACAGAATATAATTTTCTTTTTTTCATCAATTTTAAACTTTTTTTTTCTTTTCATCATCATATAGTTTCCTGTTAGTCAAAAAAAAGTTTTTTTTTTGAAAAATTCTATTTAAGAACACGCACAACATCGAGAACAACCAAGACTGCCGTTTTATTTTCTTCTCCCACACGAACACGTTTTGTTAACTCTGATGTTCATCATTATCTTTGTGCTTCATCAATTATGACAGGTAGAAAAAAGAAAAAGAAAAAATCCATTATGTGGACTTCTTACTTAACCAACTTCTTTGCGTCAACGCCGAACAAAGAAAGATTTTCATACTTTCTTGAGATATTCAATTTAACTCCAAACAAAATACACACATACACATAGCAAAAAGTTCTATTCTCGAAAAGGAGAAAAACTACATTCTAATTTTTAAAAAGGTTTTTATTTCCTCTATAATAGAAAAAATATGCCGTGGAAGGAAACATTTTTGCCATTCTCTTGAGATAAGACGCAGAAAAAAAATAGTCTATCGTACTGAATATCTGTAATAATTTTCATTTCTTTCTAATACTTCAGGCAAAGTCATAAAAATATCACACGGATAATAAGAAACGTTCGTGAATTTAATATTTTGAGAATAAATTGACACAGCATGAATAACGAATGCTTTAAGATTTTTTTTGATAGATAAAAATTATCCTCAACTTGTTCTAATGAGTCGTTATCTCTTCATATGTCAGGATATTAACAGCGACGCACTTATTGAATTCGAGAAAGAACTTTGTTTTTGTATAGAAGTCACGCACACACACCGCTGAGAATAGCAGGCAAAACTGTTTTGAAATACAATGGAGGTCATAGGTCAATGTCAATCCGGTTTGGACACAAAAATTCAAATGTTAGAGCTTTGCCGCCGATTCAGCCATTTTTTTGATTGAATCTGCAAATTTTGTTTTTAGAATGCTAACAAATTGATTTGATTATGAAAAATTGCATATCTACTATTCATATCTATATGCATTGTCTTAACACACTTGTAAACGATAATTCATGAGTTATTTGTCTTTAGCATTAAAACTAGTGTAAAGAGAAGAAGATTTCAAAACGATAATTAAAAAATAGTTTTCCTTTATGTTATTATAATTAATACACGAAATATCAAAATACTTTCTTATTTTTAACCGCCTAGATGAAAATTTCTTTTGCTTCAAATATATTAGTTGAAATAAAGAACATAGTTGTCTTTGACAACCGAATAATAAATAATTTCTACAAATATCATATAGTTTCTAATTCATATTATAAGTAGAAATTATTATCTATCAATAAATATTCGTCTGTATAGTAAAAGAAATAATTCTTCTGTAAAATAAAACACAAATTTTTGTTTTTTGAATTTTACAATATGTATCTTCTCTGTCCTTTGAGGATAAAATTTCCCATATTTTCGACAAAAAATCATAGTAGACTTTACAATAAAAAATCACCATCATCATTTACAACATTACAAAAATCTTCTTTTTATTCGTATTGTTATTCATTTTTTTCTCGACAAGTATGGTGGCCAATTATTATTATATTCGATTTTTATCGTATATTACACGATATCGATATGCTCAATAGTCAAACAATGGTTATTTACAATATTCTACCATTATTAAGTAAAACAGCATCAACAAGTACTACTCATGCAACATCTTTCGAAATACTGACGAATGATGACAAGTAAATCTATTACATCAAGTTTTTCACAATGACTAATCTTCATTATATTTTAGTAATGCAAATAAAAACCACACAATGAACATATCCAACGTCCATTCAACATTTCAAGTTCATAATGAACTGCCATTGAAATGGCCACATGTAGAGACACTATTATCTAGATTGTCCTTGAATCGTGATCATAATGCAGCTCCTGAGTCGACCGCAGTCATATCTGATGATACAATTTTTGATAATGATCAAATAAAACAACTTTTATCGTTGATATCACAATGTCAAATTTACTTTAAACACTGGTACATTTTGCTTTTATTTTCGATTATTAAAATCACATGGTTATTAGCCTTATGTATGTTTGTTCTTGGTGCTATTATCGAACAAAATACATTGATGATACCATTTTTGTATATTATTATGATAAATTATACTATTAGAGGATTAACCGTCATCGGATGTCTGGTCTCCATCCCATACGTAAGTTGGATAGCTTTCCTTTTCTATAATCGATGCTTAATGGAACTTTTTCTAGGATTTTGCTTTTGTGACATCATCACCATACGATCCTCGTATGCCAAAAGCATTTGTTGATTGGAACAAACCAATACTATGTGTATTAAACATTCGTCAAACAACTGCCATTCTTATTCTCGAGTTTATTGCGGCTATCCAGTTTATCTTAGCTATAGGTACCATAACGTCATCGTCATTCACTACCGATGTGGTAAATAAGAAACAGTTACGGCAATTTCAACAAATATTTTTAAAAACATTTCAAAAAATTCATTATCATCATCAGCACAAAACTATGTCGATAACATCCAAGCATACCGGCAGTCAAGAAATATTAAAACAAGTTAAACATCAACAACGAGAATATTTGACAAATACAGAAAATAAAAATAATCGTGTATCAACAATTAGTGAAATCATAGTATAAACTAAATTCTAAACTATAGTTTATTTCTCATCTCATCTTAAATATGTTGTCCTCGAATGAAGTTTTTTATGATAAAACAAAATTGAAATGGCTTAAAATCAGTACAGGCAAAGTATATAAAAGATAATATTATTCATTCGATAAGTTCCTATAGCTATCGCATGTAAAGTGTAACAAGGATCAAAGAAAATTTTTTTGGGCGGAACTGACTTAATTTAGGTAGAAGGGAGAACATTTAGCTAGGTTAATTTCCCTTCTACCAAGGTTAAGTTAGCTTCAAAAAATGTTTATTTGCTTGGCTAATTCATACTATCTATTCTGTATCAGTTTCCGCTCAGATTTGAGCGAACAACGGTATAGTAGAGATACATTATAACGATGGGACCTCATCAGATACAATTGTAAAATAAACTAACAGTTCATTTATGCAAGAAATACAGTGGCTCGAAAAATTATTCGTCCACAATGTGACTTTGTTTTGTTTTTTTGTGTGCCATTTCAAAACAAAACAAGACATAGAGCTCGGACAAACGTCATAGTGCAGAACATTTTCGATAGTCTGTATGAACAGTCTGTTCGCTAAGTGGATGAAACCAATATTATTATAATAAACAAGTTGTACTCATCAAGTAGAAAACCAACTATGAATACTGTTAACTTTAGAAAATGACTTGATTTTGCTACAAAATATAGTTACTTCTACTTCAATGGAAAATTGTATGATCAAATTGATGGTGCGAGTATTACTGATGGGTTTAAAACTGTTTTCTGAAAATTAAAAGTTGGAAAAATTTCTAAAATAGTTGATACAGTTAAAACCCTAGTGTTACCTATGAACCCCAGTTATAACTATCAACTCGGATTGATCGATATAATTGCGATTGAACGAGTTACAACTCCAAATGGGTAGAGTTAGAACCATTCCAACTCCAGTTATAACTGCATCAATTTTAGTAATGACTATCAATCTAAAATAAAATTATGAAAGCAGCTCATTTCAGTTTGTATTATGGCACAGTTATAACTAAAGTTGAAATAGTTATAACTCTCTCAACTGCAGTTATATCAATCAACTCGAGTTGATAGTTATAACTGTAGTTCATAGTTGTAACTATTGTAAATTTTTGACTAAAAGTTAAATTACTTATAACTAATTTCAACTCCAACTAGTTATAATTCAGGTAGTTTTAAATCAGTGGCGATTATGATGTCGCCAATTGTACCATTATTCGCTGAAATATTTATGAATGATTCTGAGAATAAACATACGGCTATACGTACAAGTTTAGGTGTTAAACTATTCAGACGATATGTTGATGATATATTTGTGTTATTAGAAAATTCGATTTCACCATCGAGCATTTGCGATGTATTATCGATATTACATCCATCTACTACATTTACTTTTGAACAAGAGAATTTAAATAAAATAGCATTTTAAGTTGTAATGATTACGTGGAGAAATGATAAATTTTTAACAACAGTTTATCGAAAATCGACGTTTACTGGATTGCTTACGCAGTGGAATTTTTCAGTCCCAGTTATGTATAAGAGAAACATGATTAGCATAATGGTTTATCAAGCCATTAGAATTTGTGGTGACTATCAGATCCTACATGAAGAATTAGATTTTATTAAAAAACTGGCTAAACGAAACGGATATCCACTTTATTTCGTTGATAAAATTATGGGTAATCAATTGAATCTTTCAGCCAAAGAGATAAAATTACACAAAACAAATGAGAATGAAGATAATAATGTCGAAAATAGTGTTCAAATTACCATTTTACGGTGAAATTAGCTATACGTACGGGAAAAGGGTTTTTGCAGTCGTTAAAAAACAATTTCTATTAAAATGAATTTTGTTTCGGTTTCGTGGCAAGCTCGTAGCTTTTTTATTTAGAAACAGGTTTGGTGGTGCTCATTTACCATGATCTTTTGTTTAAATTTTTTGGCCACTGAAGCATAGATTCAAGAGTTCATTCTAGACTCAAAAAATAGAGAATTTCCTGCTGTACAACACACAGTAACTTTGATATATACATAGTATTTAGTTATCTAAAAAATAACAAACAATAAAGGCAAGTAAGAATGAAAACTACGATGCTGTTAGACAGAAATCTTGCTTTTGACGATATTTAAGCGTTTTGGAATGCGAAAAATAAAAGCCAAGTGAATAGGACATGGATGAAAATGTTCAGCGCTTTCTGGACTACTGTTGTGATGAAAATTGCTCGCAAAAACATATTATGTTAGCCTACAACTTCGTCAATAAGCATTTTTAGTTTTGTTGCTAAACAAAAAAAATGAATGCAAACAGTATTTACAGAATAGAAAATTGACTAACGTTTGCACTACTAATAACAAATCCTTGGAAGTTGTATACAGTAACTAATAGGATATAAAACTCATCCATCATTTGTGCGATGCCGATCATTAACACAGAAATGATGGAAACAATGTCGTTTTTCTAGTGAGGATGAATTAGATAACGACAAATTTGTTACAGTGTGGAGCTCTATTAGGGGAGGTCAAATACAAGAAAAATTGAAGTCGGTTCTTTCCATCGTATTTTAATCTTCACTTGCCTTCATTACGAGTATTTTCTTTTCTCCATTTCAGTTTTTAAGTTTTCATTTTCTGTTACAGTTATTTGTATAGACTTGATACTGACCATAATAAGTTGAAATATTGTCACAACGTAAAAGAATGTTTTCATTTCAAGTAGCTGCATTACAATACAAATTAATTAAGATTTATTTCATAAAATGATAAACAGCACTAAATATGAATACATAGAAAAATCCAAAGAAAAATTTCAATTGACAGAGCTAAGAACAGTTTTTTTCAAGATCAAAATTATTTCGTTGCATGTAATTTACCATAGACAATTAGTGATGTGTTTTCTCAAACGATCCACTTCCTTTATAACCTTGCACAAATCCATTATTGTCTTCTTCGTCAACTCGACCTTCTTTCCCTTTGCCTTGTCCATCTTCATCAAAACGTTCTTTATGTATACCCGTATAATGGTGTGTATCTGTCATACGATCCGTTAAATTTTTATTGGCCGTTTCCTACATAGAACACAAATCACTTACTATTGTTGCAATAACAAATTTATCGAATGCTTACCGTAACATGTGTTAAACTTGGCCCCTCAGTAGAATTCACTTTAGATAATATTTCATCATGACTAACATTTTTTGATGCAGCTATCTGATCAATAAGATCTTTGAAACCATTTATTTCGAATGTTTTTCTAAAGGAAGAGTTTAACATCAGTTAGCCGAATGAACATGATTGGTCAACAAAGAATCTACGTTTTTGCTTCTTACACTTTAGATGTTATTGCAAGTCACTTTACTCTATCATCGATCACTGAAATGATACTTACGCACTCAAATGAGATTTCTCTTGACAAGACTACAAAATATGTACATAACTCGTGTGATAAATCTTATATTTGATTTCTGACATTTCTGGTTTTACTTATGACATGTTCAAGACCACAAGACAATACAGCTTCTAGAGGAAGATTTAACTGGCAAACTTATCTAAAATCACTTTGCTTACATTCCTGTTGGGTATTTTTCATCACCATGCGTTGTTAATTTTCCGAGTACTCGTGCTATATCATTATCAAGTAATTGCGTTGTATATTCCGAGTCAACAATGCCTGTATCTTTCATCATCTTTTGTATATTAAACGAACCTATTCGTAACTCATCTGTATCGTGTAATTGAACATGAGTTCTACCAAATTTTGAATATTTATCAAACGCTTTTTGTAAGTCATTTATTGGAGCCATTGTATAATTAAGTAAAAATTAGCTTCTGGAATAAGATAATAGAAGAATATTTGATCTGAAATGCAAGGAATAATTGAACATTATATCGTCTAACTATCACATGTCCTTACCGCCGGACCGCAAATAGAAGAGGGTGACAACTGAAACTGTGTATTTATCATGGACATAAGAAGCTTCTGTTAATTATCTGTCGTCACGGTGCAGTTACAGCGCTGTGCGTTCTTCGCTCTATATTTATAGGTGCGTATATATGATCATAATAAGTTCTCAGTGTGATTGATTATCAATACATACTGATATATCAAGTGCTCTATATGCGATCAGCTATTAATTAAATCATGCAACGTATATTCAATATTTTTCAAAAATTTATCATTTTCAGATACTGTTTGTGCAATAATTAAATGACAGGCTGAGAAAATTCTTTCAAAAAGTTCATCAGATGTCAGAAAGAAGAAGAATATTGCTAGGCAACGGCAGTGGTGAAAAGCGATAGGTCATCGATTTTATTGAACTTCAATAACTCAATAAACTACAAACCTCATTTACTTACTCACCAGGCTTTGCTTGAATACTAATCTTTGCATACAGAGTGATAAGTGTCACATGATTAACTCATTACCCTGTATACTATCGTTGTTGCTATTTGCCATTTATATCTACTTGAAGCTTAAAGGCTGGTGATGTAAAACTTTAATTAATTGACATTACATAACTCCATTGCAGTAACACTTATAAAATTGCACGCAACGAAAAGGTACTTTTTCATATTATCGATATTATGTCCAAAAGAAATCAGTTATAAATGTAGAAGAGTCATTCACAAAATATTCAGCGCTCCCGACGAAAAATTTTAGCTACAGTCAAGTAAACAAATGATTTACTTTTGTACGCCCTCAAGACAAACACGTGATCATCGATTACCGAGTGATACAACATCACTACTGACATGTAATCAGTACGTGTCTCGTCATTCCTGATCGCCTGGTTTTATTCAAAAAATATATTTGTTACAAAGTATCGGTAAGAACTTGTAAAAGAAACTTGCAAACTGATTAACCTATTCAGAGATGTGCTGTATTTCCTTTCAAAAAAATTGCGAAAATACAATTTTAATAAGCTAAAATTAATACATACCATTAGGCGACAAGAATATTCAACGAACCTTGTGTTACCAGCTGGCGTTTTCGACTAATGGGGAAAGGAGGGAGAAATCTTTCCTTATCTAAAAAAAATGACTCAGAAAAAATTTTTTTTGGTACAGTATTAATAATCTATTTAATCATCTGAGTAACATATTTACTAATCAGTGAAAACATATTGTTCACAAGACTTACCCTCTCCTAGAATCTGCATCGAAAACGCTGTCAGATATCGTTTAGGGGTAGGACACGAAAAAGCACAAGTATTAATATTAGTCAAACAGTTCGCACACTTTTTGAAAAATAGATTAAATGTCAAGAAGTACAATATAATACACGTTTTTATTGTTGTCTATATTTTAACTTATATCAGTCATTTTAGCTTATACTATAATTGACGAAGTGTGGTTGTCTGCACGTCATTGATGTTCAAGAAACTATTCAGAGAGAATATGTATAGAAAAATGCATTGTTCTCTGCCGCCTCCCTTCCCAGTCGGCTTGGGTTCGAAAGTAAATTTTGTTATAACATTCTCGTACAAGAGTCTAACAGTGTTTTTCGAAAGCTAAAAGTTGATATCAGGTTGTGTGAACAGACGAACAAAACATTAAAGGTCATGCTTAAGACTTTTTAACAATTTAAAGAAAATCTTTGTGCTTAACCCTTTGACACCCAGTGGGAAGCATACTTCCGACCTCGAGAATTTTCAAATCTTAGAGAAATATTTTCAATAAATGTTAGAAGGTAGCAGAGGTCCGTACAAGATTGCACGGATAATAGGGTATATGGAGGACGTTGAAAAATGCACCATGCCAAGTTTCTTTAGTCTAAAAAAG